ATGCCAAGGAAAGTTTCACAGAGATGAACAAAAAATGAAAGATGCAGAATGGAGTTGGGGTTCGGATGATTCAGGGTTATGCCATAATAATGCAAAAACCCATGCAAAAAGGGAAAAGCTGGCAACCCTAACCCATGCTGGATGAATGGCACAAATAACACAATCTCCCCTGGCTCAAGATTGGGAATACGATGCTCACCAAGCGCTTTCCACTCACTAAGCTTCTGATCTAGCAAATGGCCCTACTCGTGGAGTTTCTGGAGGTGCTTCGGCTTCGTGCTTGATGCCGGCTAGATCTAGGCGATAGTGGCCATATTCGGCACCTCCAGTGCCCTCTTCTCGGCAGTCTTCTTGGTGGCGCCACTCGGGTTCTTGCCCTTACCCATCTAGCAGAGCTATTTATAGATCTAGGGTTTCAAGGTGCGAAATGCAGGAAGCAAATGGAGCAGAGGTAGATGATGCGCAGAGATAATTCTCTTTTTATATGATTTTTATCGCGATGTGGCCCAATAATCATGCCAACGGGCGTGGCGTTTCGATTTCCCTTCCATTTTAATGTAGTTGTGCGGTTGATACGATGGTTGCACGCCTTTTCAGGATTTCCAACACATCACAATGTGTTCAGACTTATCCTTTGGATTTCCTCTTTTCGGGTACTAGCCATGCTATGACCATTATTTACATGGCCACATCGTGAAGTACCTGGACGATTGATGCAGTACTCGGACAATCGCTTGACAGTATGTATTAAAAAGCGTAGTACCCGGATGAAGATTTTTTTATTCAATAACAGTTCAATGGATACAAAGTTGCACACTTTATAAGATTCAAGACCACTCAGAATAATGAGCGATGATTTATTTAGAGAGCTACAAGTATTAGATACAAGATTTTTTCAGTCAATAACAAAGATAACACATACTTGGATAAAACAGAGTACTCACACTCTAAGTGCTTCATAGTAGGTACTTTCATACCCGATGCACCTGAATCCAAGAGGAGAAGAGTAATGCATCTGGGTTGATAACAGAAGTGCAGTATGTCCTAGCCTAGAACCTTGGGTAGACAGTCTAGCTACGAACATTTGTTGGCCGATTACCCTTGGGAGCATAGCTACTACAAGAGGAAGCCTATAGGCTAGTATACATGATGAGCTATTCACACATCTTGCCACCCAGCCGATGCCATCTGTACACATTCGGGTCCGGGTATGACCCTTCATGGATAGACGTCGACATGCACCCTAGAAGAACTGACATGGGACTGCTGGACATGCCACCCTACCGGTCGTCACAAGACTTCTTCTAGTTGCAGTTCTAGACTCCTCTACTATGCATAACTGCGGGTTTAGCCTACTTCTAAACCCTCTCACAAGAATTCTTCTAGTCACTACAGCTCTTGGTTATACCAACCGAGTATTCCCAGGGGCTGGTCTACTTCGCTCACTACCATATTTGCAAGCTTCAAACTCTGAGCTACTTCACTTCTTCTACAACTGAGGTTCAAGTGCTCACCAGGAGGGTTTTTATAAGCACCTTGGTGTTGTATATGAACTAGGTTCACGCGGAATGCACGGACAAGCTACTGACTCCTACACAGGTTCACGTGATACACTACAAGGGTATAGAGCATCCCACTATACCTTTTCAGTGTACAGACAGCCTTTTCCCAGCACATGTGAAGTCACGGTACACCCGGTAGCACCTTTGATGGCATATTCTCACGAATATCCTGAGCATCTTTGGACCAACTGTACTAAAGCCTTGCATGTGACTTTGACATGTCTTACCTACTTCTGTACAAGCAGACAGGACAATAATTTTTGCTGACACTCTCATCCTCGAGTATATTCCTTTTCAGATCCTTATCTCGAGAACAAGTACTCGGACACAGGCTCAAGGGTTGTAAGGTACATATCCTATACGGATGTTTTTTCTTTTAAATCCTTTAACTCTTTGTTTTGCAAACAATAAGATGCTCGGGGGCTACACTCAGTGAGTGCACTTTTTTCTGAAAAGTGCACGTCACATGGAGGCTTTACAGAGCACCTCATGGCTTTACTCACGAAAGCACTCGGACTACGCTTGTTTCTACTCGGCAAGATCAGAAGGAACAAGAAGGCTTCCGAGTTCAACCATGACACGCTCGGGGGCTTGACGGACTAGGGTCCTAGGGGTTCTCCACGGGGTACTACTTGGATAGGCCCTGGAGTGGGCCACGATCTGTTGAAGGATGCGAGACAAGGTGACGTTAATTTCAAGCTATTCCAGATCGACTTAGCCAATTTACTATGAAAACTAGATTCTATAATAGAATTATGACTCTTCTCCTGTAATTGAATAGGACTAGATACGTGTCCTTACTCTCTCCCCTATATAAAGAAAGGTACGATGCACCCCTTTAACCCTAATAATCATACAATTAATCGAACGCAAAAGGCTACATGTTGATTGGATATAAATGCTATTACTCGACAAGAGGGCCCGAACCAGTATAAATCGTTAGTCTCTTAGAGTTTACCATCGAGCTTTGCGTACGCCAAAGTCCTCTGAACACCGTCCCAGGTGCCCTCGTGATGGATTATCGGTCATCAAACACCGACAACAAGAGATGAGGCAAGATAAATACTTGGTTTTCTTTTCTTAACTATGTGGATCCAGTTGTCCATGAATCGATATGTTTTCTTGTGGCTTAAACAGAACATATGCATAATACGTGATATGGGGCACAAATACTCTCTCACTTTCTCTCACACCATGGAGGTCCTTATAAACAACTAGTTAGAGCAGCCCCATGGACCATCATGGCCAAATCGAGCACAAGTTTAGTTCCACAGCTCTAGGCCCCGTTCGGAGCTTGCTGAAATTTGGCTGAATTGACTGAAAACACTGTTCTGGCTGAATTATTGTGAGAGAAAAATACTGTTCCGGCTGAAAAATAAGCTAAATAATGCGGATTATAAGGTAAGCCGAACAGGGCTCTGGTTTGCAAGTAAATTAGTTAGGACTATAAGGTTTAAAATAGGGGGCTATAGCTCGACTATTGCATTTCTAAAGCTCACTCTAAAGGAGTGTCTTAAAGTAAAATTATGTCATTTCTATTTGTGCTCTGATTTATTTTCCTTGTTACCATCTAGTTTGAAAAAAAACTATAAAGGAAAGTGAAACCATTTTTCCTCTTCGATGTGTTTCTCTTCCTAGAATCGTCTCACAATGAGGCAAAATAGTAGAGGAAACTTAAATCCTACACTACACATGGTGGTTAAAGAAGGGGATTCAGAGCATGTTTGCTTAGTGGCTTGGTAGGCAATTTGTCTCTTAGCCTCTTAGGTAATGATACTAGCTCTGCTCGTTGAATCTATGGCTCTCGTTGAGTAAACAATTATGATTTTGGACTAGTTTGATACAGAGCTAATCGCTAGCTAGCTAAAATTACCCCTCACTGTATATATCCAAACAAGAGAGCTAATAGTAATAGGTGGGCTATTTTTTAGTAAAATCTGTGATCATTTGTTAGCCAATCTTAACTAATTGTGAGGTAATTTTTAGCCCAAGTAATAATTAGCTCTAGCCCATCTAAATAGACCCTTGCTATAGCAAATAGGAAAAAGTCCACGTTACCTCCTTCAACTTTCGCGAAAGTCTGTTTTTCCTCCCTGAACTCCAAAACAGAGCAAAACACATCATCAACTTTTAAAACTGTTCATCTTACCTCCCTAACCCTGTTATAATCGGTTTTGAAGGCGGTTTTGTCTTTTTCTTTTTTATTTATTTTGGCTGAATCTTTGAAAAATCATAGTAAATCACAGAAAAATCATAAAATAGAAAATCCAATTTTGTTGGACTCCACATGAGTAGATCTATGCAATGAATATATAATATGATATGTTTTAGTACAAAGTTTTTGCTGTGGCTTTAGATCTATGCTTTTATGTAATTAATTGGAATAATTCATAGCTGTAGTTTCTATGGTCCAATTGTGATGAAATTTTTATAGTGGGCTAATTATTGTATGATTGAACTGTAATAAAATTTTATACTCATTCGATCATATATAGCTTAGTTATAAATTTATTTATACTTAACAAGCACAAACCTAAATAAAATATATAACTAAGTTATACATGATCCAATGAGTATAAAATTTTTACTATAGTTTAAGCATATAATAATTAGCCCACCATAAAAATTTCACCATAATTAGACCATAGAAACTGCAGCTATGAATTATTCTATTTAATTACAGAAAAGCATAGATCTAAAGCCACAGTAAAAACTTTATACTAAAACATACCATATTATATGTTCACTGTGTGATCTACTCATATGGAGCCCAACAAATTAGATTTTCTATTTTTATAATTTTTCTGTGATTTACTATGATTTTTCAAAGATTCAACCGAAATAAATAAAAAGAAAAAGACAAAACCGCCTTTAAAACCACTTATAACAGGGCCAGGGGTAAGATGAACGGTTTTAAAAGTTGAGGGAGGTGTTTTGTCTGATTTTAGAGTTTGGAGAGGAAAAACAAACTTTCGTAAAAGTTGAAGGAGGTAATGTGGATTTTTTCCGAGCAAATAACTAGAACAGTTGCAGCTGTAGGGGGCTCTATAATAAATAAATTCAAACGAGCAAGCTGACTAACCACCGAATGATCGAAATCGACAGCCTAGAAAAAGCTAAAAACGCCCTCACAACAGCACCACCAGGCTACTTGATTTTCAAAACTAACCGCTCGAAGACGGTGGGAATCATCATCAACGCAAGTACTCAACGGCCTAATCACCCTACCCTACCTACCATGGAATGGCGGCATAACACAATTGAAAGTAGAGGGGTCTTTTCCTAAATAATCCATCCCTCCCCCGTCCTCTCCTCTTCTTTTCTTCGCCTCGCCTCGCCGCTGCCGGTCCGCTCCCCCAAACCCAAACCCTAGCCCTGGACTAGAACGAGGAGGGGGGATTCGGCCAGGGGGTCCTCTTCCGCCAAGACCGATTGACGATGTCGACCCTCGCCGCCTCCCGCCGCTCCTCCTCGTCCGCGGCCGCCATGCGCCCCGCGATGGACGAGAACGCCGCCGGTGGACCGCGATGGACGAGAACGCAGGCCACGAAGCGCGTCGCGCTCGGCAACATCACCAACGTCGCCGCTCCAGCTCCAGGGAGGAGGGCCGCCGTGGGGAAGGTCGCGCCACCCGCCACCACCAGCGCGGTACGTACGCCGCCTCTGCTCGTCAGGGTTTCAGGGATCGTTTCTACGATTGGGGAATTTCATGCGGAACGGAACTCATTCCGCTTTTCTCGGGCCCAAGACTCTCAATCGTTTTCTTGGTCCCTTGACTTGAGAGACTGATCGATGGCATTCCCAGTTTCTTGGTTTGGCGGTTTCTTGATTTCGAAATGCGGTCTACGTTTTCCTTACAAGGTTTGGTTGTCTGATAATATTCTAATGAGGCGTACTTCGTGTCCTGGCTGTATTCGGGTTTAGCTTAGCAGATCATCACCTCTTCCACATTACCTGAATCGGCGAATCCTACAGATTTTGTGATTTCCTACTATTACTCGGAATCAGTCTCGCAACTTTATGAGAACTCTTTTTTTCCTTGTCTTAAAAAGGAGGAAACCTGCAAGATTTCTCCCTCTTACTGCTTTAAGGCTCCACCTCGTGGACCTGTTACTAGTTTTTTGTTATTGGTTGGATTCTGTTGGGTCAAAAGACTAGACCATAGTACAGATGTATCGGCATTTTCAAAAGAAGGTTCCTTGGTTTTCACAACGTGGCAATCTTTGTGTCTTTGTTTGCTTTGGAATCTTCTCTTGTCTCAACACGATACTGCATCTGCAGTGTTGCTATATATAGTTTTTTGTAGGTGATTGGTGTAGATCCCAAACCAAGGCTTGAACTAACTTATCTGTTTTGTTCAAATCTCATGCAGAAGTTGAATCCGGCAACCTCAGCAGCACCCTTGAAGAAACCATATTCAGCAAATGCACGCAACGTGAGCTCCATTCGGGGTTCTGCTGTGAAGTCGGCTTCCATCAAGCCAGCTCCACGAGTATCGCGCCTTGACAGCAGCACAACGCAGAAGCATAATGTTCCTCCTCCCAAAGTTCCTACCATTGTCGATGTGCCACGTCGTGCTCCAGCCTTGGTACCCTGCAGCAGCTTCATGTCTCCTGGACGTTCAGGAGATTCAGTTTCTATTGATGAGACCATGTCGATTTGCGACTCAATGAAAAGCCCAGACTTTGAGTACATAGACAATGGGGATTCCTCGGTGCTGGCTTCCTTGCAGCTGTGGGCAAATGAACATTTGCATATCGGAGGATAGAGATGTTGAAGGTCTGCTGAAATTTATGAGATTTGACTTTCAAGTGCATTTTTGTTAAATTTTTTGTTGATTTGGCTATGAATGACCTGGTTTCTTTTGCAGAAAATAAGTGGAAGAAAAATGCCCATGCCCCAATTCAAATCGACCGCATCTGTGATGTAGACAATGACTACGAGGACCCTCAGTTGTGCGCTACTCTGGCTTCCGAAATCTACATGCATCTGCGAGAGGCTGAGGTGACACATTCTTTCCTGTACCCTGGTGCTGAAATGGTTTCCCTCAAGCACTGAACATAAGGAATTGCATTTTAGAGACAAAAATCTCTTTGCATGTAGATTGCATCGGGTCAACTAGCAAAAGCTCTACATTGATGTCACCGAATAAGCAATGCCCCAATATGCTTACTTCAAGTGTGTTTGATCATATATAATTTCTGTTTCCCAGTGTAGGAGCAATTTCTTGTTTTTATGTGAAGTTTTTTTATTGGTGCATTAATGAAGGTTGATTCGGTCGAAAGAATGTTATTTCTGTTTTGAGGAAATTTGATCTAGATTGATCTATACATACGTTAGTGAATCTTAGAAAATCTCTGTTTCTTCCTTCATTGTCACTATTAATGCTGCTTTATTTTCTGCAGACGAAGAAAAGACCATCAACTGACTTCATGGAAACGATTCAAAAAAGTGTCAACCCAAGCATGAGGGCTATTTTGATCGACTGGCTCGTGGAAGTAAGCCTTTTCTGCTAATCATAAAGAAAAGCCTAAAGCAGAAGCACAATTGATTAGCTACAATCCATGATTTTGACTTTCTACTGTATTCATATGATTTTCCTTCCTGTAGGTTGCTGAAGAATATCGTCTTGTTCCTGATACTCTGTACCTGACAGTTAACTACATTGACCGTTATCTTTCTGGCAACGAAATCGATCGCCAAAGGCTGCAATTACTTGGTGTTACTTGCATGCTTATAGCCGCGTAAGCTTCTGCTAGTTCTTCTTACATCTATTTCTTTCAGTTATCCTCAGTTATCTGTACACTGTTGGCATATCAATTTTGAGATGTTGCAATATTCAAATCCAGAAAATACGAGGAGATATGTGCACCCCAAGTAGAAGAGTTCTGCTACATAACTGACAATACGTACTTCAGAGATGAGGTCTGTGATATATTACTTCCAACCATCCCCTCTTTTTGTCTATTAGACCATATCCGATAGTCCCTTCTTTGTCATTGTCACTAAATAACTTGTTCAATAACAGGTTTTAGAGATGGAAACTTCTGTACTGAATTACTTGAAGTTTGAAATGACAGCACCTACACCAAAGTGCTTTCTGAGGTGCTTTTCTGTTTTATTTCATTTTAAGTAAGATTTATGACTATTATACTAACCTAACTTCACTAACTCATTCTCTTGCTTACAACAGGAGATTTGCCCGTGCTGCACAAGCGTGTGATGAGGTACTGTGTAGTCAGCTTCTGTTCACTGGAAGGAGGAATTCCTTAAGTGACATATATGATATATGATACCATTTCACTGACAACTTATCTTGTACAGGATCCTGCTTTGCATCTCGAGTTCCTCGCCAATTACATCACCGAGCTATCACTGCTGGAGTACAATCTACTCTCTTACCCTCCATCACTTGTAGCTGCCTCAGCTGTTTTCTTGGCAAGATATGTACTCCAGCCAACAAAGTATCCTTGGGTAGGAGGCATAATCATGTTGCTTTTTCCATACATATCTTTGTAGCAGTTGCCTGCTGAAATGTCATTATGAGCTAACTTACGCATCTCATTGTGAATTGGAGCAGAATTCCACACTTGCTCATTACACACAGTATAAGCCGTCAGAACTGAGTGACTGTGTAAAGGCATTGCACCGGCTTTTCAGCATTGGTCCTGGGAGTAACCTTCCAGCAATCAGAGAAAAATACAGTCAACATAAGGTAACTGACTGGGCCTGGTCCCGAATGTCTTCAGTTAACAACTCTGTTGCTAGTAGTACTAACGCCATCCTCCCCTTTCCTTCATCAGTACAAATTTGTTGCAAGGAAGCAGTGCCCACCGCCAATCCCTACGGAATTCTTTCGAGATGTAACATGCTAGACATAGAAGCCCAGCAGGAATAGTTCCAGTTGCTTACTGAATTCTTCCGCATTTGGCACAGATGCCCAGCCGCGCGACTGTGCAGGTGGTTCGTTGTTTGATGCAGGACGTGCTGATGACCCCTGTTGTTTCATGTGATTAGGAGAGTGTAGATTCTAGATCGATGCTTTGAGGTTTGTTGATCATGTTAGGGCATTGGTGTGATTTTCTTCTCCCCGCTCCCTGCTGTAACCTTCCTGTACCTATACCAACGTTTGCAGGCGCTTGTAAATCGGAGTTGTGTTGTAGAGCTGACCAACATCTAGATCGATGACCAACGATCTCGTTTGTAATGTCATACTAGTACTGACTAGAGTCACAGTCACTGGTGTCCTGTAATTTACACCGCATGTAAATTGAAGTTTAGGGGTGTCTCTTGGTTTTGGACTCCTGGTTGAGGTGGCGTACTCATATTTTTACTAGGTTATTATTGATTGAGGTGTTAGCTGCTGTGGGACAGTGGGAGGGAGAGAAAATAGAATGGGCGAGGGGCAAGCCACACTCAGGTTGCCTGAAAAGTGAAAAGGATTGCAAAGAATTAGTTAAGAGATGTTGTTACCCTTCCTCCCTCGGCAAGATAGCTAGTTGCTGGGCTTCTCGGTTTCTGGCCCGGCCCATGACTAGATATCAGGCCCAGGCCGGCGGGGGCACGGCGGCCAGGCACAACTGCACAACCACCGCAGTTTTTTTTAACATTTTTAAGAATATAATCAACTCTATCTATTTATTGCTACAACAAGAACACTTGGAGTTCTCTAATATTTTAGATCATCTTCAGGAATTTAGTATAATTTACTTGCTAAACTAATGAATCTAGCAAGTTAACAGAAGAAATAGCAACCTTAAATTTTATCCTTCTTCATTAGTATTCTATAATAACTTACTACATATTTTTGCATTGAGAACCCTGAAATATTTCTAACCAACCAACCCTTTTTAATATTTTCTTTTTTTTCTATCACTTTCTAATCCGGAATCCTTTATTGTTTTTAATTTACTCATGCCTCTAATTTACTCCGATCTTCCGAGAAGAATGTCGGACAGGGAGTGGATGCGGAGTTCTTCTCGAGCGTGAAAACTTACGAGTTAGAAATAATATTTGGCAACTTTTTATTTTCAAAGTGCTCTTTTTATCAAACTGTTGGAGGACACTTTTTTTCTTTTTGCTTAAAATCAAAATAGAGAGTTATTTTACAAAACTCCTGGAGATACTCTTATAAATGTTCCATTTGGGCATCACAAAAAAAAATATCTCGTTGCTTGTGTACTTACGTGTGAAACTTTTTTTCAAGTTGGGTAGTACTCGTTAAGTGGAGCTCTCATCTGCTTCGACTCTAGTTTTTTCGTGAAGTGTAATTAGTAGCAATATTTTATAGCTTGTTTGGAGTATTTCTTGAAAGGCTTTAGTTGTGGCTTTTTTGTTTTCTTAGGTGAAGCTCTATGGAACACTATTTCAAGAAACGACTCCACAAGAGAAGATTCAAGATTCAGAGGGAAGAATCCATTTTTTTTTCTACTACAACGTGAAAGGCATCTAAATGTGACTTCTACATTTTCTCTTGGTTTTTATGTCAAAACTAGTTGCAGAGAAACCCTATCTCTTTTTATAATAAATAATAAGGAGCCAATAGAACTTTTGTTTTTTTTGTGCAACTCACAGTAACAAAAGTGAGGCCATGAGAGTGGAGTGGGAGGGTCATCCATGGGCCATGGCGTCCGACCACACCGGTCCCACACTCCCACTCATGCGTGTCACGTGACCTCCCTCTGGCTTCTGCCGTTGTGCCTGACCTTGTGATGTTCATTGCACAAAACCAGTGGAAACGAGGATTGAGGCCTTGTGTTTAGATTGTAAATTTTTGCAATCTGGACACTGTAGCACGTTTCGTTTGTATTTGATAAACTTTGTCCGATTATAGACTAACTAAGCTCAAAAGATTCGTCTCGTGATTTACAACTAAATTGTACAATTAGTTATTTTTTTACCTACATTTAATGCTTCTATGCATGCGTTCAAAAATTGATGTGATGAAGAGAGAGTAAAAAAACTTGAAACTTTGAGACAATCTAAACAAGGCCCGAATGTGAAACGGAAGCTCATTAAATTTGCACTGCGGCAGCGGGGAAAACACTGTAGTAGCTAATTTTCTGCGAGAGAAAAACAACGCTCCGACTTAAAAAAAAAAAAAAACAGCCAGGCAGCCAAATCTGGCCAGCCGAACATGTTCGTCTGAACTCTGAAGCAAATTATTCCACTCCCAGTCCCAGCAGACAACCTCCAAACAAATAGCCTCTTTTAATCCTGTCCCGTACCCTCCCTCCCTCTCTTTAACCTACTCCATCCATCTTCTTCCCCGTCCGTCGCATTCATCCGATCCGCCCTCTCCCCTCCCATGGCCCATCACCCTTGCGCCACCAATCTCTAGCAGCTTGCGCACCAGCAAGCTTCCAAACCTCTGCTCTACCCTGGGACGGACGGAGAAAGTGAGGGGACCCAAACCAGATCTTGGCAACACACCACTACTAACCCGAAACACAGGTAGAGTAGGTAGGGCTGAGGTAGTTCAACTCCTTCCCTCTCCCTCTTTCCGTGTCATATTCATAGGCTCATAGGTGAGCCACCGCCGCCCACCCAAGGGATTGGAGCTTCGCCTTCTCCCCCTCCTCCTTCAAAAGCTCCCTGCTTTCTTGGGGGGTTTTGGTTCCCCAACAAGGTTGGGGGGAGGGGTTTTGCTGCTCCTGGTGCTGGGAGGACGAATCTATCTTGGCAACAGGGGAGGGAGTTGTCCTGTTTGCCCATGGAGGCGGTCGCAATGTCGCCGTCATCCGTCTCCTCCCACACCCACACCCACGACGACCATGACTCCGCCTCCGTCACCGAGGGCATGTCCTTGCAGGAAGGCCTCCTCTTCTCCGACACCCTCAAGGTACTGGTAACTAGCATCCCCCTCTTCTCATCTACACAAAGATACATTTTTTGCCACCAAATCCCCCCCCCCCCCCCACTTACACACACCCACATCTTGTTCTCTGTTCTTGTTGTTGCTGTGGATCTAGCTCATGCGCTTTGCGGAAGAAACCAGGCTGATTACTGCCTGCCGGCGTTCACACCAAAAACAAAATGCGATGTTGTGTCCCATTTCCCTGTGCGCTTTGCTGTCCGTGTCAATCACAAGATTTTGTCCCCAATTAGGTCTATCCGTCTAGTATCTCTATCACACACTGTGCTACTGTAGGGTGTGTTGTCCTGTCCATATCTTGTTACAGTAATACAATTAATCTTGTAGGAGCATACTACAACCAATAACATCAACCATTTATGAAGGTCTAACATTGAAATCTTGGCTTGCTCTCTTCCTTTCGACAAAAGTGAGAGAATCATGCATTACTGGTATAATAACTGCCTTTGCAGCTCTATAATGGCCGCACCTTTTCTCCCCCTACTTTTGCTTTTATTAAGCGAAAGCGCCACCCCATTTGGAGTTTGAAAATGGGCTTGTCTGCATAACGGCAACACGATGCCGACCCAGCACCAAGGCTCTTGCTAATAAAGCAGCATCAAGGTTTTTTTGTGATTTATGGCATTGCTTTGGCCATATATGCGAGTGCTATTTGTTCGACAAAAGTTTTAACCTGCCGTTGAATTGAGCGTTACCGAGTTTACTGCTCTGCTAATGTCAACCTATAACGTGCTGCTGCCATCTATTGTCAAATTTGTCTCTGTTTGGGGTAAAGAAAAGCAGATAGGATCCTTGTCCACAACCGCAACAAAACCCCCACATGGCTATGCCTTTGTTAATGATTAATGTGTCCTCCATATGTGCTTAGCTGACATTTATTATTACTATCTCCTATGCTCTATCCGCCTGGGTTTAATAAATTATTGCTTTATTTGTAGGACCTGAGGAATCTGCGGTCACAGCTGTACTCAGCTGCAGAATATTTTGAAGTATTCTACCGAAACAATTCGCACAAATCTACGTATGAATCCTTTTATGGATCTTTGTTTCCTTGTTTGTCCTGTTTGCTGTTTGCTTCAATAAAGAAGTAGCAGTACTTATCCTCTCATCATGTTCGCACTGATCTTCTTATGTAGGGTGATGACGAGTTTGAAAGATTACACGGTTGAAGCCGTTGTTAGCACAGTGGACCATCTGGGTTTTGTGTCATACAAGGTGGATAATCTTGTCAGCGAGAAAGCTGATGAGGTTAACGAAACTGAATTTCTAGTATCTTCAGTTGAACAGGTATAATGCTAAAGTGCCAACTGTGGAAAATTTTCCTTCTAGTACATTGTTCTCTTGACCCTATTTTACAAGTTTGCCAATATGGAATGAATATCAGAGATAGTATCACATTTTTCCATCTGTACCCTTCAGACCGACCATTTTGTTTCTTATGATTGTAGAGGGTTCGAATTTGCCAACAGACAACTGACCAGGAAGGAAGATCTCAACAAGCTCTTCTCATCAAGGCGCCAAAGTACCATAGGCGTTACATATTGCCAGGCAATTTCATGCTCTATTTTACTACCACATTATGTTAGTCCTTTTTGGACGTACAGATCATCATAGCTAAGTTGTATAGGCCTGGATCTACTGGAATCTTCCATCCACCCGGTTTCGGAACCTCCACGGTATAACAGGCAATATACAAGTCGCAAGATGCACAAGTCTCAGTCTTGTAAGCTCATCGTATCTCTGATCTCTGAATTTCTGAAAAGATTACTTTTATATTGATCTGAACTCCACCCTGCAGCCATTTCTACTCCAGTCTGTCGGCAGACTACGATGAGGTAAATAGATAGCAACTCTGAGGCCCCTCTGTTGGCACGTTCACTTTTGTTTGGGGTCAAAGTCAACTGCTCAATGCCCAAAGAGATACACTGCTGGGATTTTTCTTTAATGCTCGGTCTGCTGCAGGCGTGCTCGTGAACCATCTCCAACACCTAACGATGCATACCATCGGTCACGGTCATTGTCACCTTCTCGTAAAGCACGAGCTAAATCTCCATCTCCTCAAATCGTGAACACAAACACTACAAAAGGTACATTGTCCTTTGGCTGACTGAGCGGATATTTGAATGTGAAGCTTGCATAATAAAAGGACATTAATTGGATATTCTCGCATTCACTTTTGCTACACAGAAACAAGGGCAGGCTCGCCGATACCAAATTCTAATCCTCTGGCACGGTCCGCTACAGTTGCAAGAAGACCGCCATTGAACTCAAAGCATTTGGTATGCCCTGGGCATAGTGTGTTTACCCATTGCTATGTCAGTTTTGGCTAACCCTTGTTTGTCTAGAACTCTAGCTTACTAGGCATAGGTTTCTAAAAACATTATTGGGTTCTTGTCGTGTTTGATCATAGAAAACAACTTTTTGTAATGCGGTCAACCTTTTGTAATGTGCAGAGACAAACTTCGATGCAGTTGCACACCAACTGGGATCAGCACAAGGAACAGGAGAAAAACTCAAGCAAAGGCAGGGGTTTCCTCAAGTCACTGCTCACCCGGCGCAGGTGGAGGAACGATGAGTCGTTGTACAGTTACTTGGATGAGTACTGATTGCTGGGATGTTGGAACCAAAGTCTGGTGTTAACTGAATCTTTTGATATATGTGATGTTTTGCTTTGCCAAAAGGTTGGTTTCCCGTTTTCATTCTTCACGTGCCTATACGACAGACACATGATCGAGGCTGCTCAATTCTGATGCAAAAGGCACTTAAGTTTTAAACAACCGCGTAACTCGACTGACTAGAGCCGTACCTCAATTTAGACACCAGTCCAACTAAGATTTCTCCACTGCAAATCCAAGCGTTTATCCATAACACCCTTGCTGTTAAGCATGTAGCTTAGGGTCTGTGTGTCTGGGCTTTTGGACCTTAGTTTGGGACCTTTCAACAGCTAAAAACCTCAGAAGCCAAAAGCCAGAGCTTTGCCTTGTGAGCTTTTTGGCTTTTGGCCCAAAGTTGAGGTCCAATAGCTCCTAGGAAGCTAAAACAAATAGGGCCTTAGTCTTGGTCAAATCTAGCATTGAAGTTTGTTAATTATTAGAGCCAGATTTTCATGGAAAATAATGATGACTAGGTAAGTTTTAACTTAAAGAACAAACCTTAATTCACTACTATACGGAGGATTTTTAGTCACAGCTCTATATGGTTTGTAGAGGTGGATGGGTCAGGGCCCCCTAACATTTTGTAGAAATTGATGTGTAGTGGCAGTTGGAAAGCGAACTCCTTCTGCAATCATTTTCTAGAGAAATCATAAATCGGGTCAAAAATAGCAAATTCTTTTTTATTAGGGGCTACCCCGCGGCAACGCAAGTCACAAGTCAAGTTATTTTTCACGTGAAAAACTTGTGCTTCGTGGGCACAGGAATCCCCCCCCCCGCTGCTTGTAGTCTCACGCGTATCTTCTCTAACCACTTGATCCATAAATATCACTTGTGTCCCTATGACATTCTAGCCTCTAGGCAATGTAATGTAACCACACCATCCTTCGTTGGCTTTTTTTTTCTCGATGATGGTATGCTTTACCAATTTCAAGAAAAAATGGATGTGAACTCCACATTCTACACAATAGAGTCCGATGTTTAGATTTTAAGTTGTTTCAAATATTATTTTTCTGCATTTTTGCACTTTTAGAAAATGAAAAGTTTCTGGCTTCAGTCATCTTCTACTGAGGATGAATCATATCACAATTATTAGAAAAGGTAGTTAGTTTTACGACAAAAAACATATGTCCAAAAGGGCATATACGCAAGACGACAAATAAACCTAATATAACTAAAAAACAAAAGAAAAATAAGAAAAACCAAATCAACACAACATAACCTGAGTAGTCATTCACGTCATTCCAACTTGCTACACGTGATGTCAGCTCTAAAAGAACTAGCTTCACCACACTTCGGTGTGTTTTGGTTGGTAGCTGGTACAAAAAAGGCTGTCACTGGGGTCAAATGTGGGAAAGGCTCATGAGCTAAAACAAATATAAAATATACCTTCTATCTTTATCTCTCTTGAAACAACTATGGAAGAGCTTTTTATTCCACCAATTTCGAAAAGCAGAAGCCAAAAGTCAAAAGCCAAAAGCAGGGTCAAACCAGCTTTAAAAAATGTACTACGGAAAAGCAGCTGCTTCTGAAAAAACCGCCTGAAAAAACAACCCCTTTGGTTGAGCTTTTGGCTTTTGAGGCAAAAAGCCAAAGCCAAAAGTCCAACCAGACATACCCTTCGGTTAAAAAAGAACTGTGCATGAGCTAAATCCAAGATAGGTGAAATAACAAACTCCGCCTACTAGAAGAACTCTAACCAATAAATTGAGAATTCACCACCAAAACATGCCTCTAAACCTTTGAGGACCAGGAACCATTGTTGAAGTCTTTAGATACCTTGCAATAATGGCACCAAGGCCTTGGTGAACAAGAGCAAGACAACCACCATCGAGCGATACCAAAACCCCACATCATCGACAATTCAAGGGATCCTCCAACATGACATCTCTAAGGAGAGAATAACGTCCAAAGACGATGCCTTCGCATGACTAGATGACTAGTGTTGAGTTTTCATCTAAATAGGCCCCTGCAAGAGAAGAAAAAAAAAGGTAGCTATGAAGGTGCCTCTAGTGGAAGTGGCATCCACGGACGTCATCGCCAACGTGACAGATGACGAGTAGCTAGATTGTTGCCAAAACCTTGAACCATCGGCCATTAAGGGAATATTATCGTTAGACCATACTTCTCGCTGAGTCAACAAATTGTGCCTAACACCAGACTCACCAAGACAACCGCCATATCTGGCCAATCACCATCTGCCAAGGTATCCAAAGCGCATAATCAGTGACCACGTAGATTGCGGCAAGGAGTTGGAACGCCATCTTGGCAACTAGGAGGGAAGAGACATGCGAATTAATGGTGGGAGTTGATAGAGGGAATTAAGATGGGACTTTTAGTCTCGATTCCTTGTTTGGTTCGTGGAGGGAAATAAGAAAGGAAATTGAAGAGGGAATTCATATCCCCTGTTTGATGAGGAGGTTTTGAGGTGAAATTAAAAAGACAAATTATGATGGACGGTGATGATCTACTTTTCTTTTATTAAGAACACAACTCCCACCAACTCCCACTCCTCCCCTAGGGAATTGATTAGTGGGAGTTGGCTCTCTAAACTCCTCTTCCCCTTTCCACCAAAACTCTCATTCTCACGAAACAAACAAAAGATTTATAAACTATTATCTCTAAACTCCCATTCCCTGCTTTCAATTACCCCCAACCAAGCGAGCCGCAAAGGGGCTTGGTGTTCAATATCCCAAATAATTGTGCTTGTCACTAACGAGAGCGAAGGCTCGCTATCCGAGATCGATCTAGTAGAATGGATCTGTGATAGATGAGAGAAGTAATGAGCGACCACCTAAGGCTGTCTCCAACATGAGACTCATCAGGAGACTCAAACCTAAAATAGGTCTTGGTCTTCAATAGAATACCTATAGCCTCCAACAAATTACCTATATGAAAGACTCATTTTGGGTGTCAGAAGAGGTATAACCCAAATCTGAGTATCCTTTCCCCTGGAGACCCATTTGCAGAAATGGTTCTCTTTTGGATCTTGTTGTTGAAGAGAACCAAAATGGATATTCAACCTTTTGACGTAAAATAAATCTTGTATTTTAGGTAACAGTTGTTGAAGACAGTCTTATAGTGCCGTCATGGGCCACTGTCACTGCAAAATGGACGGCGGCAGCAGTAGCCATGGAGATCCGTCTAAGGCTGTTGGTTGCACCGAGTTGAATGTCGCCCAAGCCACCCGGAGCTATCGGTTATGGACTAAAAAATAACCCTTTAAAAGATACATAAAAAACACACGGTTCAATCTACACAATAAAAATACTTGTAAAAAATATATTTCCTTTTCATTGCTCTCCCTACTCTTTAATTAAATATGGTAGCTTACCATTAAAATGTATTATATTTCCTAGAAAAGTATTTACTTTTTAGAAAATTGAAAGATGAATAATTTATTTTGATAATCAGACTCGAAGAGTTCACATTAACCGTATATATTTATATTTTAAGCATATTATTAATGTACACAAATAATTTTTATTTTCATATTTTATGAATATTAATATTTTATATCTCTAAGTATATTATTGTCATTGTCATTATTATATGTTTATTAGGCATGTCATTAATTGAATTAATGAACTTGCTATCTCTTCATTAGACTAGCAAATATATATCTTATTTATTGGTCTTTTTAGGCATAGGCATTTAATCAAACAGACATCTTGCTATTTGTCTGGCTAAGCAGACTTTATTGAATTTTCAGATAATTTTTTCTAGCAAATAGCCCATGCCTCCATCTAAACATCGCGCTTACCCTCGCCCTCGCCATGGAGGGTACCGCCGGCGACCCGAAGAGTGCCGAACCCAACGACAAGAGCGCCGCCGGCTACCAGAAGAGCGCCGGGCCCAACTTTAGGAGCCAGAGCGACAAGCAACGAGGTGTGGATAGATCTGGCTGTGACAAGAAGCAAGGGAATGTTGAGTCCAGGAGCACTGGGAGCGACGAAAAGCGCGTGTCCCCCCGGTCCACACCTCCCCTTGACGCCGGTGTGGGCAGACCTGGCAGCGACGACAAGAATGGGGGTTTTGGGTCGCGGAGCGCTGAGAGCAACGACAAGCGTGCGCTCACTCATTCATGCCTTTCCGCACGCTCACGAGTTCAGGCCTCGAGCACGAGCACCTTCTCTGACACTGTTGCCCCCTAGGGTTGACGCGAGCGGTGGTTTCCTGCTTACATCTTCGGCACCCATTCCCAATGTCCGCACCTCCGGCGGTCCGGCCATCTGCCTTCTCCAATGCCTACCACACCACCTAGCATTAGGTTGGCGTCACGGTCACCCGCTAGAAGCTCTAGCGATAGCTCTTCTCGTCCACAGTTGAGACCACAGCAACACCCAATGCAGAGCTTTTGTGTTGTTGCAAGGCATGGAAGTGCAATGGAGTTGGAGATGAAGAAAAACAAAGAAGAGATGCTTTGCTCGTATCACTTTCGAGGATATGTTATATGTTGCATCCATGGATCTTACCTCCTTGTTTGTTTTGTAGCGATGATTGTGCTCACTATAAGGACTAAGCTACAAACCATGCCAGAAAGCTTACTATTGATTTTGAAGACCTATGTAGAAAAATAAAAAATTGATTATTAAGATCTCCAACAACAGAGGGAGTAATAACACTTGGTTGAATCAGACATGTAAGGAATTCTATGAAAGCAACTAGTTGGCTTTTGATAGTGTGACGTTTGAGTTCGCTGACATTCCATCAAGGTACCTTCTTGATTCTTGTTTCTCTAGATATGTCTTAGTTTGGACAGTAACGCATTAATAACACACTTCAAAGTGTAGGCTGATTGTATAGAGATAAGAGATATCTACAGCAACACCTCACGTGCTAAGACATTAACAGACCACAGGAGAGAGGCAAATGACCTTGTACTCATCCGTATTCCGGACGAGGTTGCAGATAAGGGTGTATTGTGGGATGGGGGGTTGGGCCTTGGAGATCTA